GACCCCTGGGGAATGTTCAAGAACTAAGCACAATGTATCGCCTCTGACAAAGTCTCACTCCATCTCCAGTGTGTAGGTATGGTGGTATATGCTTGTGATCCCACTACCAGGGAGGAAGAAGCAGAAGGACCATGAGTCTCATACCTTCCTGGCACACACTGTTAACCTTTGTCTCAGAAGACAAATAAAGGAGAGGAAAAAAAAAAAAAACCTCTCAACCAACCCCAAAGGATCCTTACAGTTTTACTAGTTAACAACATCCCTCAAATGTCCAAGTTCAATGTCTGCTCTGAAACCTGAGGCAAATTCCTTGCTGTAAAAATAAAACACTCAGATACAATAAATACCACAAGGTAAACATTTCCATCCCAAGGGAGAGGAATAGGGGTCTATAAAGGAAGAACCAGACCAGAGCCAGATAGGAGCCATGCAGGGCAACCATCCAGTCCTTTCTTGGCTGTTCTGTACTGGGGACACAGGTTGGACTCATGAGGCGCTCTACCCATAGTCACGCTCTGTATGTTCCTCTCCTGCTGTCTTCTTCCTCCCCCTTTCTTGCTATATCTGTTCTTTTCTGAGGTCTTGCAGTGGAAACAGCTACAAATGGGAATATTCAGCTCAGCAAAGTAACAAAGCAGTTAGTAAAGGGAAACCTGAATTTCCTGTAGCGTTGTCGGTCATTTTGTCTCATTTCCGTGACTGTCATGCATTCTTAACCAACAAATGTTAGGCCGTGGCTATTCAGTGTATTCTAGGTGGAAAAAGGGAGTACCCGGGTATCTAGAGAACAAAAGATGACATCTGAAAAACCAGGGCAGAAATATGTCATAGGAAAGGATGGCTTTGTTATAAAAACCCAAAGCCAGTGTAACCCACATAAGAAAGAAATTGATGAACTGTGTTGAGATGTTCTCCGTTCTTTCCTGTTATTGGCTGTGGCCATTTGGCCTTTTCAGCGACCTCCACTGCCTGGCTTTCTGCTGTGGTAGGCACAGAAGGTGTATTAAAAATATTTCACAACTGCTAAGGCAGGAAATTCAACCAATGAGAAACGAACCTTGCTCAAGACAATTGCTATGGTCTAAACAAGTGCAAGAATTGGGCAGCCACCTGGAGTGAGGGAAATAAAACAGAGAAATGCATTTTAAAACCTTGGAGGGTTCGCCTACTTTATCCCAGTAAAATCGTCCTAGGTTTACAGCCTTTTTTCTTGGTTTTAACCTTGCGTGCATTTCAAATGATACTGATAAGGAAATGTATTTCCCGCAAAGCAGTGAATTTCCTCTTCCTTTCTCTAAAACAGTATCTGAAGTTCTAGAGAATGATTAATATACTGACTGTATGAGAAACGCAAGATTTCTACATAGAAAAAAAGAGAAGGAGAAGCGGACCACTCAGAAGAAAGAGATCCAGAGAGATAAGCAAAGGTGCCCACCAACCCCAGAGCAAAGGAATACAGATTCATAAAACACTTGTCCCAGGAGGAAAGCTCATGTTCTCCCTGATCACTTTCCACTTTATTTTCTCATTGAATCTGGAACTTGCCAGTTTGGCTAGAATGGCCTAGACCAGAAGACCCAAGGGAAATTCTCGTCTCTACCTCTCCAGTAGTAGGCTCAGAGCCTCCCCCATCCCTAGCTTTTAATGTGGATGCTGGGAATCTAAACTCAGGACTTATGTTTACACAGCTTACTGACTAGAACACCTCTCTAGCCCCTGAATCCTAAAGGACACAAAGCAGAGAAAAGTAGCAATAAATACTGTCACCTGCTGCAGGTGACACATCGGGACAAAGGCACTAAAATTGCAAGACCTCCCAAGGCAGGACAAGACCCCAGGAGAGACTTCCAGAAGAGAGAGGGGAGGAGGGTGGGTGTGTAGAAGGAAGACAGCGGGAGGGGAAGATGGAGATGAAGGGTCAGTGAAGTAGAGAACGGAAGCTGAAGAACAATAGAAGACAAAGAGTAGACTCTGTGACAAGGGCCAGCCAAGTCCTGGTGACAGCAGAGAAGGTCCGGCTTCAGTGTTGCTGACAGTGTAGTTAAGGGAAGCTAAGCTAGGTAAGAGCAGGGGCTCTTTTAGAAACGGTATAGAGAGAACATAAATTCCCACACGTTCCTCTGTGCATCCTTGGCCTAGTCTCTCCCGTAGCTGGTAGGTGGGTAGGGGGCAAGCAGCTCATCCTTGGACAACAAGAGGAACAGTCATGGTGCTTCCTTTGTCTCCCTGTGCAGCAGTGAGTTTTATATATGCCATGCTGGTCTGATTACAGGAAGGAGTTTCTAATGTCCAAGGTGCAATGTGCAGAGTCCACCAGTGTCCAGGGGACAAGATAGACAGACAAATTGTGCTAAGATCCTGAGATGTGGCAGTCTGACTCCTAGAAGCAGGTAGGGCTGTTTGCTCTAGAGTGCTGTCCTAATTCACTGTCTGACCGGGGCCATCGGTCATGTCACCTGTCAGTGAGAATAACAACGGTACCCACCTCACAGGGTCACTAGCGGATGACATAGCCAAGTGTCCCACCTGCGGCACAAAGTACTCGGGGTGTATCATCTACCAGGTGAGCTGTGCCAAGCAAGACTCGGTAGACGTGAGGACAGGACACATCTAAGATGATACTGTGGGCCATAGTAACAAAAGTTGTGTGCCGTGGGCACAGGAAGGAACAGCACCGAGGATATGGATTCATCTGTGAGCAGAGACTGTAGTGATCTTGGAGTGGGACCTCTCATCTGTGAGCAGAGACTGTAGTGATCTTGGAGTGGGACCTCTCATCTGTGAGCAGAGACTGTAGTGATCTTGGAGTGGGACCGCTGGGACTGTTTGCTACTGGGGTAGAGAGAAGCCCACGGGAGCTGGTGAAGGGCCGGAGGTAAAGGGGGGCGGGTGATAAAGAAATACGGCACATGTCCTAGCTGACCGTAGAACTCGGGAATGCTATGCTCTTGCTTCGTCCTTCACCTCTTTTTCTGAAAAAAAAAAAAAAGAGATTGTTTTCATTTAGCAGGTATAAGAGATGTTTTGAGACCCTTTTGAGTGCCATCATTGGTACTTCCCACTGGCCTGAGGAAAATATCCCTTTTCTAAATGAAAAGAGGGAGGAGGGAAGGAACTCAGATCCCACCCAAGCTGTGGCTGCACTCTGAGGGCCATGACTACGGCCTAATTTAGTCTGTTCTCCCAAAACATGTTTACAGAACCCCTGTATGTGCTTCAGATATAAAAAAAACGCCGCTGTCCCCAGAACCACACAGCTCAGGAGAGCACTGAGGGAGAGCTGGGCAATTCCTAAGTCCTCTGAGTACTCAACAGTCACACCTAGGTTATCTCATGTTTCTCCATGCTGTGGCTAAGTGGTGACAGTCCCAGGGACCCTCTGGTTCCGTGTCATTCGGTTACTCTAAAAAGCCAGGGGTTCAGGTAGTGTCAGTGTGCTCTAGAACACGGGCCTGCCCTATGGTGGTCAGGAATATCGGAAGCTACTAGGATCCCCGTGTTACTTCAAGTTCCTATCCGGACAGTCTAGCCATCACAGCTCTGCCAAGGTTTCTTTTCAGCCAGCCCATTGGAACTCAGCCCGCATCTCACCCATGCAGTCATCCCCAGTTCAAAATGATTAAACCTGGACCAGCTATTTTTATTTAGTCCTCCAAAAATAGCTCTCAGTCCTGGCTGGAAGCCACCCCCCCCCCTCCCGCGCTCCCTCCCGCTGCTCTTCAAGTGTGCATACCAGAGGTTTTTGCCCTGACTTTGGCTTCCCAATCTTTGGCATTTGGGGGCGCAACTGGACCCACCCAGACTCTGAGATGTTTTCAGACTGAGTCTTTTAGGGAGCTCTAAAAGTGCATTCACTATGGAAGTCTTAACCTGGAACACACGTGCCCAAAGACTTCTGAGGGCCCTAAAGCGAAGACGACCACCAGGTCTGCCTCAAGCTCCGTGTTCAGCAGGAGTGGGCGAACTGAGAGGTGGAGAGGTAGCAGTTAGGACTTGGGTGGGAGCACCCTGTCCCCATCAGGCTTCTTCAGGCGTGAGGGGAGCAGACCTGGCTCAAGGACCCTTCAACAGGGTTTGAATGGAGACCTCACCTCCTATTTCCACCCCGCCCTCCGGTGTGACTACTTTTGATCCCGCCCCAGACAAAGCCAATCCAACTCCTGTCGGAGGAATTAGGGGTATCAGGTTGCTCTCTCGGCTTCCCCCACCCCCTCACCGCGGCTCCCCTTCCCCACGTGACTCTTTGGAATCTTTGCCAAAGCTCGGAATCTCTGAGTCCATTTTCACGCCCAGCAAAGGAAAGAGGAAGGAGGCTAGAGAGGCGGAGGAAGGCAGAGCGCGTGTGCTTTAAATGCTGGGATCCACTCGGGGACTCATTCTGTGCATTTTCAGGTCCCTCATCCGAGGAGCATTGAGTTCGGGGTCTTCTCCAGCCTCTCTTTCCTGGGTGCATCCACAATTATGGCTCCACCTCCACTTGGGTAATCGCACCTCCGCCCTGCAGCGCAGCTCGGGGCTGCACGGTGCGGAGGTGGGCGTCGGTGTGGAGCAAGCCGCGCCCCCTCTGCCCTCCCCCTCCCGGCGAGGGGCGGGGGAGAGAAAGTGGCAGCAGCGCCCCCCACGCCTTCTCTGAGGAGCTCTGGCCTGCAGCAGCCCGGCGGCGCGGTGCAGCTGCAGCGCCCGGGAGTCCCGGAGCTCCCGCAGGGCCGCACAAAGTTTGCAGCCAGCGGCCCTGCACGGTCCAGCTCCCTGCGCGCTGCAGTGGCCCAGCCCGGCGTGTTCGCGGCGACCCCCTTGGACAACCGCTCGCCGACGCACGGGGGGCGTGCCGAGAGAACTTTGAAAAGCTGCTGAGGAGGAACCTGCGCCTGCTTCTCGCCAGTCGGGAACCTCTGGAGGAACGGGTCTAGCCCGAGGGAATGCTGAGAGATCCCAGCAGCCGCTGACCCGCAACTTTCCAGCTAGACTTGGCGGCGGGTTGAGCTTTGCCTCATTCCTGCAGCCTCAGCTCCCGTAGGTGGCTGAACTGCTTGCTGGGGAGGCGGGTGAGCCTCGGGGCTGAGTGTTGCTCTCGGCGGCATCCTTCTCGGGTCCACCTCCCCCCCACCTCCTCCAGCTCAGCTCTCGGCAGAGCAGCCCGCGTTTTCCCGTGTCTGCGCGTCCCGGCTCCCGGCGCCGCAGCCTGGGATTTGCCCGAGAGCAGGTTCTTGGATGGTGAAGGCTGGGCTCCTCCTGCGAGAGTGCCGCGGCGGCGATGAGTGTCCTCAAAGCGTGGCTCGGGGTGGCCCTAGCGCTGGCGGAATTTGCAGTATTGCCTCATTGCGAAGGTAAGGTAAAAAGCGCGGTGCCGAGTGTGTGTTCGTTCCTTCGTGCAGTTTAAAACACGCAGCAGCCTTTCGAGTGTTGTGGGTTGGGTGGAAGTTTTCTGATTTGGGGCGAGAGGTGGCATGGAGTGGGTTTTCCTCTCTTCTGAAATGTCCACTGCTGGTTTTTCTTGAGGTCAAATCACAGCCTGCTATGGCCTCCTCTCTGCTTTTTGGGGGGTGGGTGAGGGTCCTCTTGATGTGACATTTCTGAAAGTGGATCTTCCTTCCACTTCTAACCCTGAAGAAAAAGCAACTACATGGAGCCTAGGTGAGGAGTGAGTAGTTGCTCACTCCTGTGAAATCCTCCACCCAAACTCCATCGCTCTTTTTGCCTTCCTCACTCAATAAGTCTCCCCACTTAAAGACCATTTAGGATTTTACAAGTAGTGGGTTAGAGTATTTTGGCTGTAGACGATTCAGTTGTTCTGAAATAAATCTTCCCCAGCACCGAGAGCACGAGGTTGCCTGCTTCTCCAGGAAAAAAAAAATAGTGGTTGATAAGAATATAGGCTCTTCTTTTCTCCCTGGGTTCTTATTGGGGGGGCTTCAACCCACTTCCTCAAGACTACGGTCGTGTATGCAATCTCGGATTAGATAATAAACCTGTTAGTAAATCAAGATTTGAGGGTGGGTGGGTGACTTGCTGAGTCTGGCGTCGCTGCCCCCCCCCCTTCCCCTCCTCCCTCCCCCTACCCCCCCCCCCCCGCCCAGCGAACCCTGCCCTGTGGGAAGTCCAAGCCTCTTCCCCCGCCCGGCCCCCCCCCCCCCCCCCCCCCCGCAGACCTCCTGCCCCCGCCCCTCAGGCGCTGCGAGCTCTCACCTGCTCAGAGCGGCGGAGACTGTGACAGGGTTAGCACTTATGAAGGGGGAAGGGAGTGGCGGGGCTGGGAGGGAAGACGATTTCCATCCACGGCTGGGCTCTCCGTTTCCTCTCCCGGCTCCATTCATTATTCATCCAGCTGCAGAAAGAGTTCACCTGCCCAGTTGCAAATCATATAGGCGGTGTTGTGCACGTGGTGGGGAGTGGGGACGGCTGGAGGTCGCGGGAGGACAAAACCTCAGGTGGGCTTCCAGCCTCCAGAGCAGTGGCGCCTCTCGGCTAGCCTTGGGAATTCACGCGTAGACTGTCCCCACAGGTTAAGGCGCCACCTTCTCACATGGTCATGGAAATTATATCAAAAGGGTACTATTCCCAGGAAAAGCACACCTGGGGGGGGTTCCGCCCCTTTTAAACTGTGAGCAACCTGTTTTTTTTTTTTTTTTAAAGAATTGTATATATACATGTGTATGCATGCTTATAAAAAAACTTGAAAAATTTAATTATAGTAATTAACCAAATGGGGAGTCAGCTCAGGTTCCCCAAACTTCAACTTAGGACTTAGAAAAATTACAGTTTTACCTGGTGGCAGTTTCTTATTTAAAAATTATATCCCAACAACACAGAAAACATGCTATCACTCCTGGATTGCTCACCAGGGGGCAGTTGGAACAATGCTGTTTCTCGGAAGCAAATCTCTTGAAATGACAAAAGCCATTATTATTAAGAGGCTGTGGGGTATGCTCTTTGGAGGATCGGTAGACGTAGCTGGCAAAGTTTATGAACTGCCGAGTTGAATGTGTGTGTGTGTGTGTGTGTGTGTGTGTGCATGTGTTTTAGTCCTCCAAGGATTCTAGAACTTTGCATCCGATTTCTTAACCCACCTTCAGAGCATTCTGCCTGAGCTCACAAACTAGATCCTTTTTCAAGGTTTCAAGGGTTCTCAGTCAACCCTTGCTTAGCTTGAAATGAATGAACACAGACATCTTGAGCACATTATTTCTTTGCACCATGCTAAGCATTTTACACACTTTAGCTCATATAATTTGATCATTTGTGTGATAATGGTTTCACACTCACAAGTCGGCAGTAGTCTTGGTAAGGCCTTTGCATTGGGCCAGTTAAAACTTTCTTTTTCTTTAAAACTAAGAGACTGCCTCCAGGCACCTTGAATCCCTGCACTCCAGAGGCAGAGGCAGTTGGATCTCCATGAGTTCCAGACCAGCCTGGTCTTCAAAGCAAGTTCCAGAGCAGCCAGAACTATACAGAGAAATGCTGTCTTGAAAAACCAAAACCAACCAACCAAAAACAAAAACCAAACCAAAACAAACAAAACCCAACCCAAACAACCCAACCAACCCCAACCAAAAAAACATAAGACGTTGAAATGGAAAACTTTGGCCCTTAGAGGTTTTCTCAAGTGATAATTGTGATATTGACCCAGGGGACGATTTTTAAAATCAGGCATCTATTGGCCAGGTGGTGGCGGCGCACACCTTTAATCCCAGCACCTGGGAGGCAGAGGCAGGCAGATCTCTGTGAGTTCCACGCCAGCCTGGTCTACACAAGAGCTAGTTCTAGGACAGGTTCCAAAGCTACAAAGAAACCCTGTTCGAAAAACCAAAACAAACAAACAAAACCAAACCAGGCTTCTATATATGTCTTGCTGGATGGGCCATACAGTCACAAATGGATCTGCCAGCTCATGGAAGAGTTTATTGTTCATTCTCAGCCTGCAACAGAGGATGCTTGTGTCCTCCAGTTAATTCTTCCCACAGTTAGCGTTGTTATGGTGAGTCCTTCCTCACTGGCCTGTGATCTTAGGGCAGCTCCAGGAATTCTTGAGTCTCCAGCTTGGCGCAGTGAGTTCCAGTCAGAAGGGGGATTACCAAATAACATTCTCTTCAATTAACTTAAATAGATCAGCCTCCGTGATTAAGTGACTGACCTTGAATGAACTCCTTAACTAAATGAGGAAGGTGCTCTGTGGTGGTAGCTTTAAATATGTTTTCTAATTATAAATAAAGAGATCAAGGGTCAGGGGTATAGGTCAGTGATAGAGCTTTTGCTCATGGCCCTGGTTCAATACCCACACATGACAATAACAAAAAAAGAGGGTTTTCTGAGATTTTCAGTTTCTAAATTTTTATCTTAAGTATCAAGAGAAAGATGAATTTTTATAACCGAGTTGTTGGCAGTGTTATTGTACATGGCCTCAAGACTGCTAAACTGATAAACTATGATTTGAAGGATTAATAAAACCAAGAAGTCACAGGCGGCTTCAAACGTGGCTGCTTCCCGCATCAAAGAAACTGTAACATCATTTTCTGGAGACTCATCTTTTTTTTTTTTTTTGTTTTGTTTTATTTTTTGTTTTTTTTTTGTTTTTTTTTTCGAGATAGGGTTTCTCTGTGGCTTTTGAGCCTGTCCTGGAACTAGCTCTGTGGACCAGGCTGGTCTCGAACTCACAGAGATCCGCCTGCCTCTGCCTCCCGAGTGCTGGGATTAAAGGCGTGCGCCACCATCGCCTGGCTGAGACTCATCTTGAGTTGTTCTCATGTGTGGAAATTATGAGAGTTTAAACTAGTTAGACAGTTGGCATGGAATTGGAAAATACTGTTGGAGACCTGGCCCCTAGTCCCAATACTAGGCCCCACCCAGTGACTTTAGCTAATCCCACAAATTCCCTTGTAACAGTTTACATTGTAAAGACCATTTGACTGAGATTTTGTTCTATTTACAGGTATATCAGCAGTTTTGATTCTACGTTTGGCCAGAGTTCCTTTGATGAGGCATTTAGTGCTTAAGACTCAGTTCTGGTCACGAACTGTGCTGGCTTCTTCACTGACACAAACAGCCTCCCTCTGTCTTTCATTCTGCAAACCTTTGTTGAGAGCTCTTATGTCCTCTTAGGTTTGGTGGGAGTTGGAAATTCTGACATCATAGGGAGCCAGCCAAACAGCCCTTGTCTGTAGAACGTACCTTCCAAGAAGTTTACATATCCTTAAGTTTATAATATTGGTAAAATAGCAGTAGTGCTCTGAGCATGTGTAGCCCTTCTCAGCTTTCTCAGGACTGAGGTTTTCCAGGCTCTAGGTGATTGATACTGACTCTAACTCTGCAGCCTCTGGTTTTCATCACTACCTGTGAGTAGATACAGGTATATGATGTATCACCGTGGGTTCTTGTTTCTAATATATTGCATTTCCATTCCCCTGTGGGATTAGATTTTGAGTATCACCTTCCCCATAGACATCCTGGAGTGGGGACACAGACATCTAGATTCACTGTTATGGACTTGGGTGGCAACCTCACTCAATTTTACTCAGGCACAGTTAGTCATAAAACACTCTCCACCACGGGGCTCGGAAGAGGGGAGAGACCACCACACGGCAGAGCTGGAGCCTCATGCCAAATCGTCTCGTAGTCCAGAGGCAGTTGGCCTATTTCAGTTTTAGTGCTCTATTAATTGATCTGAATCCTAGCTGAGAGCAATCAGGGCATGAGTCATCCTGCCAGTCCAGAAATGATTCTATTTTAACTACTCCACCGCGTGCCCAGCCATATGCCAAATTATAGCACAACAGCAAGCATGAACATTTAAATACCAACTTGTGGCTGCTTGATCCTAACGAGTCATCTTTTTGTGATACCCCTGCGTGCTGGCTCATTTGACCTCAACTTGAGACAATCTAGATTTATCTGAAAGGAGGGAACCCCAACCGAGAAAATGCCTTCCAAGATCTGGCTACAAGTCATTTTCTCAATTAGCAAGCAACGAAGGAGGGCCCAGCCCATTGCGGGTGCTGCCATCTCTGGGCTAGTGGTACTGGGTTCAGTAAGAAAGCAGGCTGAGCAAGCCATGAAGAGTAAATCAGTAAGCAGCACCCTCCATGGCCTCTGCATCAGCTCCTGCCTCCAGGCTCCTGCCGTGTTTTGCGTTCCTGTCCTGACTTCCATCAGTGGTGGACTGTTATATGGCAGAGTAAGCCAAGTAAACCCTTTCCTCCTCAAGCTGCTTTGGTTGTGGTGTTTCGTTGCGGCACTAGTCACCCTGTCTAGGGCATCCTGCTCTCCTAATCTCTCCTCTTACTGGCTCTACGTGCCTCGGTGTCTTTTGACCTGAGTGTCTGTGTTGTGTGGC